TAAGTACAAGACTCTGAAGCAGATCAGGCAAGGAAACACTAGACAGAGGGTTGACGAGTTTGAAGCCATGTAGAGTCAGGGCCAAAATGATGCAACAGCCATGGCCATCTATGGTAGGACTTGCATGGTACAGTGTCCACCTCTCTTGTAAAAAAAAAAAAAGCTGGACTGTTCAATTAAAGGGACACTGTCCCGGCGTATTTGCTCAAAACTGTGATAAACGCACGAAATGGTCCCTAAATCTATGAAATAAGAACTTAATAAACTCTAACTAAGTGATAAAAAGCAATTTCTTCAAGAAATTCCATACTGCAACAAAACGTTTGCAAAATTTCAAAGATTTCCGAGCCATATTTGAAACTTTGAAAACTGACATCCTGGACAGTTTTTCAAAAATCCATATTGCAATCCATTTCCATCCCTCACTGTCTTTTGTCATCCTCACTTCCTAATGGGTTCCTGTCATTTGTCGAGTGCTATTCTACAGAATCAAACCATTATTGTTTCAAACTTCCTATGATCTAGATATGTTTCTGAGCTTCCCAAAATCATGCTAAAAATCAGGACAGTGTCCCTTTAAGATAATTCATTTAATATCATTAGGTAAAGGTAAATTAATAACTTTTTATTTAATTTACCTTTACCTTTAAGCAATACAAAGAGGTTATTCAGCGGAAAGTTGTGTAATATGGCTGGGTATTTTTATAAGTCAGTGTTTTGACGAGTAAAAATGCCCAGCCGTATTACACAACTTTCCGCTGAATAAATTGTTTATCATACGACATAATATCTTTCCTAAAATATAGGCTTTTAACAGTGTTTTCCGTAGCGCGCAGTCAGGGGGGACTAAGACCTGTGTAATACGGTCTCATATTTGCACTCGTCTTGGTGCGTATTCGCACTCTAAAATGCTATGATAATACATGAGCCTTGTTGTTTGAAAGCCGATTTTCACTGCTAATGTTTTGTATAGTTTTGAATTTAGTCAAAGTCAAAACTGAAAGACAATATAATTATGAAGTCAAACCTGCATTAAGTGGACATCCTCGGGGAATTCTCTAGATCCGCTTAATACAGGGTGTCCAGTACATAAGGGAACTGATAAATTTTGGGATTTTTGCTACTGTCTGCTTAGTGTAGGATCTCTGCTTAATAATAATAATAAAAAAAAATACAGGTTTGACTGTACACAGAAAACCTCTCTGAAAAGTTACAAAACTGTAATCAAAATTCACGCTTTTCCTGGATTAGTTTATTGTGCAATCCAAGCCAATGCCAGGTTACCCCCCAGCATTTTGTCGCTGGTACCCATTTTATACTTCTGGGTAGAGAGAGGCACTAGTGAGAGTTCAGTGTCTTGCCCAAGAACAAACACAGTGACCCTGGCCAGGGCTCAAACCCAGACTGCTTGATCCTTAGACCAACGCACTAACCATTAGGCCACGGCGTATCCCACTAACTCATGGGTGGTCTCTCTTAAATTTGAATTTTAGAAGAGAATAGAAAAACAAACATCCTCATAATGATGACTTTTAATAATAAAACTATATGACAGTGGTGGCCATATGCAAAAACACGACGTTCGTTCCGGCGATTCTCAGAAACCTTGCAGCGATTCTTGGAAACCTTGCAGATCAAATCGCAGCGTGCCCGTTACTAGGCAACAAAAGCTTCGCGAGGACCTGCGAGTCACGTATTACTAGTAATAAACTATATGACAATGGTTATCGTTCTAGTAATACATTTTTTTTCTTTTTAGATGCAGCTGACAGTACTTTCAAAAGAAGTCCCACACAGTTTTACATGAACCAACTCACTACAACTTTAATCTATGGAATAATGATTATTTTGCACATGCAAGAAATTTGATAGTGTATTAATTAACTTTTGTAATGTTAGATCTTTAGAGATATCATAATATGGTGAATGGTGTTTGTTTTCTTTTGTATTGGTAGAAAATAGTTTTCCTGCTTGCGCTGAGGCTATCAGAGACCCTAGCGGGGGTATCAGGGGAGGGGTGGGGGGGGGGGGCGTCCGTATATTGCTTGTCTGAATTACAGTGCCCTGCCAATGGTGAATGCTTTTTGGTGCTTAAATCGGAAATTTGCAATAACTGTTGTATTTTAGGTGCCATCCATCACAGATTTTCATATCATGTCTCTTGTCAGATTTTAGTCTAGCAGGGCCTCGTTGCAGGGATGTTTTGGAATTTTTTTGTGTTTTCTTGCATTGCCCTAGATCAATCGAGAATTTTGGAAATAATAATTTATTATTCCAAATAATTTATTGTGAAAGTAGAAGGCATATTATATTACCGCTTTTAAATATATTTTGAGTGTAACTCTTAGGAAGGTCTACTTTGTTTATGATTTTGAGGTATCTTTCATTAAAATTCTCAGACCGTGTTGCTGTTGTTAACATTATTTTATTCAAACTCACTCTCGCTGTACAATGTAAGATTTCGCTGTATGCCAAACATCTTGAGTACAAGTAGTCATTGATTCAGTTTGTAAAAGACAAGTTGACAGATGTTAGATAATGACCTGTGCTATTTTACAGGCAAATATAATATAATCAATCACCTTTTGTTAGTAAATATGTAGCTATTTTTCTGCATTAATACCAAGTAAAGCCCCGACTTCAGTGGGCTGAAGTTGGAGTACCAAAGTCTTTTGACATTGTGATAAAAGTAATCAATTTGAATAAAATCAATATCTATCTCCCAATGTGACTCGACTTTTCCTTTCATTTGGAATGGGACTTAGTCTCCTTCGCAGCCGTTGTTTGATTCGTCACGCAGAAACGCTGCGTGACGACTCAAACAACGGCATTGCGCGATGACCCGTGGGACTGTTCTTGTTTCCATCAGTGTAATATCAGCCATGAAATTATTTTGTCATCCGAGAGTTGCCATCTCTCGATTCGTGCAAACATCAAATCTGATGTTTTCTAATACTGTAAAAGCTCTTGTTAGCCCCCCTCTTTAATAAGCTCCCCCTTTGGAAGTCAGATTTTGTAATGAGCAGACCTCGTTGGAGGTCAGGGTAAAATACCAATAATATTATAATATACTCACCACAGGATATTGCAATTTTGGACAATCTGATTGGTTCCCTCCTCAAGGCATACGAGGCAATGTACCATGACTACCTTATTTGGGAAACCCGCTAATTACGATAAATAACCCATTTAACTCTGTTTTTCCCTTCCGTTCTTTCCCCAGTAATTTTAAATTACAACATCCTGTGGTGAGTATATTATAAAAACAATTATTATTCCACTCAATCTCGTCGTACATGAACTCATAGCCAACAAGGCTACGCCTCGTTGGCTATGAGTTAATGTACGACTCGATTTCGTGGAATAATTGTTAAATATAGCATCTACCGGTAAATTGTTTTTTCAGGCATACACTGTAAATGACGTTTCAGCAATATTTTCTGGTGTTTCAGTCACTTTGTATTGAAACGTGGTATTACTTTCCAGAAGTATTGTTGAGTTGGGGTATAAATAACCGGCATTGCATTTGTAAGACGGTGATATAACCCAATTCTTGTTCCGTTTTAGTGATGTAACCGCGCGTGCTCACCCGCTCGATCTGAGAAAAATTAGGGACTACTCGTAGTCTACCTGAAATTTTGTACCGTAATCTTGATTGGATAGTGAAATTGTTAGCTGGCCGCATTGCACTGTAATAGAAGTGTCAGTGCTCATGAATACGGGTTAGTCTTGTGAAGGAAGTGAAAATTTATTGACCAAACGTAACGCTACCCCCCCCCCCCCCCCCCCCCCCCCCCTTGTATAAAACTTTGTTGAGTACCCCCCTGGCGAGGTGCAAACCCTTAGTACCCTTTTATATACCATTTTTGACCGCTTTTGGTTCGTGCCCTTTTAAGACAGTTTTCCCTACCCTTTTCTATAGTTCAACTCGTGAAATTCCTACTCTTTTATATACCTCGAGTCCAGCCTGAAATTCGGGCTGAGCTTCCCCCCCTCCCTGGCAACGCTCTTTGTCAATGTCTCGTCACGCAATCCTTCTTATCTGGTCATCCCCCACCCACTCCTCCCACAACATGCTGCACACGGCCGTGATACGGGAACCTGGGACCTTGATGTTATATTTAGTTGATTACAATGGCTTCAAGGATTGTTTTACAAATCTTTTGTACGGTGCAATTTTGAAAGGCTTTATGGAGGAGAACATCGACAGCAATGTTTTGTGAATGGGTTTGCTATATTCCTCTGTGAATGGCTGTTTTTCTTCTTTTGATTTCGACGTTTTCCAAGATGTTTTGAACAAGGACCTCGGCCTCGTGACAATAATTTTCTTCAGGATAAAACCTCATGGATGACTGCCAAGCTTTGAAGAGAATTAGCTAGAAAAAACAGGATAAATTGACCTTGCCAAAGGGAAGCAAGACAAGCCAGCCATTTTAACAGATATTCAATTCAAATCACTATTTTCGGTTCATGAAAAGGGGACTTAGTGAGTGTGACATTGCACTGATTTGCACAAAGACGCACTCACAGACTGAACCAAGACGGAGGCCATTCGGTTCATATGTCGAGCGTTGCCCTGATCATTGGTTTTTGGACCATTTTATTCATTTCTAATGCCTTGTTGAAGGTAAGTTGACCCAGCTTATTAATATTTTGTCGTCAGTCAGTTAATTTTAAGCCTCAATTTACATGTTACTCCCTAATAAAGTGGTCAATGTCTAAATTCTCTTAATAATACCAGTACGTCTTCAAGCAGTCATGTGATGAGAATAAGGAAACTCATCAACTTCTTATTAAAACTCGCAAAATTAATATTAAAACTGGCCGACACTGCCGGAGCTTATCCCGGTTTCCTTAGCATGAAGCCGACTAGGAGTATTGCTTCTCCCCTGGATGGGATGCTAGTCCATCGCAGGTTACCGCCCAGCATTTTGTCGCTGGTAACCCATTTATACTCCTGGGTGTGGAGAGAGGCAATTTTGCCCAAGAACACAACACAATGACCCAGGCCAGGGCTCGAACCCAGACTACTTGATCCGGAGTCCAACGCGCTAACTATTTGGCCACCACGTCTCCCTGGGTGTCCAATTTGAACCTACTGTAACTGGACACCTACGTACTATACACCATCCACGTGTCAATTATGTGCAAGTTTAATGGGTTCTTTTTTGGGCGGGGGGGGGGGAGGTAGCCTAGTCTGCGCTCGGCTAGTTTTGCTTGCCTCGATCAGTCTGCCGCACTCGACATAATATGGTCACACTGGACTTTGTGTCGTACAATTTGAGTATTACTGTAAATTAAACTCATCAACAACAGATGAGCTTGGGGAAGGTGCCTGTAAGGTTGGTGGAGCCACATGCAAGACGAGTCGCGCGCGTAGGGTAACCATGGCAACCCTGAGAGCGGCAACCACCAGACACCGTCACACTGATAGTCAGTGGAAACAACTACATACTCACCCAATACTTACCTAACGGGAGGGATGGGCCGGGAGCAAATACTTCGAGCGCCGACAACGAAGGGCAACACGCTCGAAATGGCTTGACATCCACGGGAGGGCTGTAAAAACCACAAGGGCCCTGCAAAAAAAACCCAGCCACCCCGCAACCCTACGATTGTGCGGGATACCGCTGGCCCCTATTGTCGAGCGTTTAAACTTAGCTTGAATTCAAATACAACCCCATTTAAACTCATCAACAACAGATGAGCTTGGGGAAGGTGCCTGTAAGGTTGGTGGAGCCACATGCAAGACGAGTCGCGCGCGTAGGGTAACCATGGCAACCCTGAGAGCGGCAACCACCCAAGCCCCGAAACTCCAAGGTGCTTGGAGAGCGAAGGGCCCGCGAACAGGGTGGGCAAGGGACCGAACTCCCCAAACCTTCCAAGCACCCACCCCCGCCATGAATTCACTTGTACCCATACATACCACACATATGAAGAACGCGAGAACTCGGAAACAGCCAAACAGTAAATCAGTCCACCGTACGGCAATCGTCACCACCGTCCAGTAGCCATAGCTAGACTGGACCAGCTAGGATGAGTGTCCGTGAAGACTTAACCACACCCGATTAGACGCGACGAATGCTGGGGAGCCCGAGATAGCCCGCCAACCAAAGTCAAATGGCGGTCGCGCCAAGACGTCATAACGGATGCTATGGGACCCAGCGTGTCCACCTGCCGATGACCAGATCAGTGACCGGATCCAGTGTGTAGAGAGGGCTGCCGAAAGAGCCTGCAAAGAACATACCAACCAATGGCCAGGAGAATGTCCGAACACCGAGAGGAATAAGAGCTGCTGTAAACGCTCGCAAGCAGAGAACCTGCCAGCCGAAGGCCCGGTTCGCAAACGAAAGCATTACACGATAAGGGCTAATGCACGAGCCCACACATCCAACCTGCCAGTCGATGCCAGGTTCGCGACCGAACACAGTACGTGATAAGGGCTGAAGCACGAGCCCGCACATCCCAATCTGCCAGTCGATGGCCAGGTTCGCGACCGAACACAGTACGTAATAAGGGCTGTTGCACGAGCCCGCACACCGAACCTGCCAGTCGACGGCCAGGTTCGCGACTGAACACAGTACGTGATAAGGGCTGAAGCATGAGCCCGCACATCCAACCTGCCAGTCGATGGCCAGGTTCGCGACCGAACACAGAACATGATAAGGGCTGTTGTACGCGCCCACAACCCAAACCTGCCATAGGATGGCCAGGTTCGCGATCGAACCCAGTACGTAATAAGAGCTGCTGCACGAGCCCGCGGACGAAAAGCCTGCCAGCCGAGGGCCAGGTTCGCGACCGGATACAGAGACGGAGTGTGGCCTGCTGCACGAGTCCGCCACAGCCTGCCTACGCACTATGTGAGCTGCTGTGAAAGCTTGGCTAAAGAATCAGCTGGCGTCCGGATGTACAGCTGATACGCGTTACTAGACCAACGCCCTAACGCTTGGATAAGATGATCTGGGACCCGTTTCGGGTAGCCACAGTCGCCGCCCCAATTCGGAAGCTATGGCTGGAAAAGTTACCTTGAAGCCCTGCAGAGGATAAAATACGACGAAGCCAGGTTGATAATGTAGCTCGTGTCAATGGCCGACCATCTTGATGAAGGAACAACGGGCCCGCAGCGTTGCCCCTGACTGCCAAATAAGCCAAGAGAGACTGTATCGCACACAACGGGGAGCTGCCCCTGCCGATATGAATTGAACAACCCTTACGAAAAGGATCAGTTTTTGAAGCCTTAATATTGATTCGCAGGCATGAAGGATTGACCGTAGAGTCCACTGCCACATCAGCCAGACCCAGGTGAATGTCCGACGAAAAGCTGGCCAAGTTGGGAACTGTGAATTCCGCTGAACGCAGAAAGCCGAAGTACGCCAGGTTACATGCCGCCCAAAACATGCAATGATCAGGGAGGGTGAGATCCAGAGCTTTAACTATTAGTAACATGACAGTATCCGTGACCGGTAGGCGTCGAGCGGCGGAATCCCCTTGTGATCTCTTAATCCCTCTTAGCACTCGTTGCAACCTCAGGCAATTGAGGAGAGGGTCTGGACACCCTTGCTCGATATGCAAAGAACGAACCGCAGACATATACACCTTGCATGGTAGAATGCTGCACCGTACGAGCCAAAAAAGGTGGCAAACAGGCACAACGTCCATTCCTCTGTTGGGCAGGGGAACCCGTAGCGTGTACTTTTCCAAGCTGGCTGCAAATTCGTAAAACCTCTTCTGACCTGACGCATAGGAGTTGCGTGTAGAGGAGGCCAAACCGTGGACGAGGAAGCTCCGACACTGAGACTCTAAGGTTGCAGAGTCAATTGGTCCAGGAGAGGAAGAGGGACTACGACTGGGTGTAGCTGGGCCTCTGGAGCCCAAACGCCTGAACTCCTGCCAATGAAAACGAGAAAGAGCATCAGCGATACTATTGTGAACACCCGGTACGTGTTGAGCTGTAAAAGTGAAGCTAAACCGAAGCCGCAGCGGAAAGTAGCTGGCGCAACAGATGCATTAGGCAAGGGACCTTGGACGTTCTGGAGGTCAACATGTGCACCACAGCTTCATTATCGGAACGGAAGAGAATATGTCCTCCTAAACCACTGCGGCCCCCACACGAACGCGGCCACGGCAATGGGGAACAGCTCCTTGTACGCAATGGACTGCTGAATTTGGGATGGCCGCCACGATCCACTGAACCATTCGCGCTTGAAGTAAGCCCCGTAACCCAGCGCGCCTGCCGCGTCCGACGTGACCTCCAGGTCAGATGATGCAGACATGCCGGGGAACAGCCAGAAGTTTACTCCGTGCCAAGAAGAGAGAAATTCATGCCACCATTGCAAGTCCAGATGGAATTCTGCGCTCAAGCGAATTGGGTGGTCACGTTTCCGAAAGCAGCAGAGCAGGTCAATCATGCGCCTCAGGAACGTTCGACCTGGCCATACGACTTTTGCTGCATGGTGAAGATGGCCAATCAATGACTCCAGTTGACGCCTGGTACACCAACGTTGAGGTCGCCATGAACAAATCAAGTCCCGTAGCGCCTCCAGTTTTTCGGCCGGAAGACGGGCAGTCTGCTCTATCGAATCTAATTGAATCCCCAAGACGACTAAACGAGTAGATGGACCGACGCACTTGTTGGGGTGAAGGGGAAGGCCAAGCGACCCGACAGACCGACAGCGAGGTGTGCAGATTCCTAGCACACTGGTCTGAGCTAGGCGGTCCCGCGGTGATAAAGTCATCCAGGTAATGCATGAGTTCCGAAATGTCATGCCCATTCACCAGGATCCACTCTACCATCTCAGCCACCGCACTGAAGATGAACGGGGCAGATCGAAGACCGAAAGGGAGGGCGAGATCCACGAAATACTGGCCCCGCCACTTCATCCCTAATAGATATCGATCGGCCGGATGCACAGCGATATTACGATAAGCGGCTTCAACGTCAAATTTAGCCATCAAAGCCCCGGGGCCGTACTTGGACACCATACGGATAATTTGATCGACCTTGATGTAATGCATGGCGAACTCGTCGGGATTAATGCCATCGTTAACGCTAGAACCGCTAGGCGATGATAGGTCCACAATGAGGCGCCACTTGCCTGGTTGGGCCTTTTTGGGATAACCCCAAAGCTGCCTCACGTGTAAGTTTGGGAGGGGAGGGAAAAGGGCCCGCCACCCTACGAAGGGCAACCTCATTAGCCAAGTACTCATCAATGACTGTGGGATGCTGAGTCGCCGACGAGTTGTTCTTTTTCGCTGACTTAAGGCTACGGGAAGACTGGAAACCGAGCCTAAACCCATCCCGAAGGCCACTGAGAACGTAAGTGACTGCACTCTGGTCCGGGTGCCCCGCCAATTCCCTGGTGAACTCCGTGACATTGAGAGGGCTAACTGCTGACACGGGGTGGAATACGGGAACCGCTAAGACAAAAATTACAAAAGAACAAACTGAGGAAGGCAAGTATGAACGAATCCACTTTATTAACTAGTAAAACAACAAGTCACCATACGGTATAGATGACAATTAAACCTGCAACGATTGTGTCTGAACCAAAAAATACTAAGACCAACCCTATAGCCCGCAACAATAACCTGAGAAAAAACTACCTATGTCCTAGACGGGTATACAGGTAAGCAGACATTAAACGAATTAGACTAACAAAAACGAGAAACGAGCAAAGACTAATCTGTCGAGCTAACGAGTATGCTCAAAGTTCGACGAAACGAATACGACTGCCCGGCGCCGATCGAGTTAATGACGTCGAGTCTTGCCACCCGACGCTGATCCAGGCGACGCCGGTGAAAGGGCACGCCGTTTGCCATCTTCCCGGTTGTTGGGGCAGGCCCACCACGCGATGAGCGCCTGAACATCTGCTGCACCGATGGGCATAACGGCAAGAGGCGAAGGGTGCCGTGCAACGCTTATTGTTCCAAGACCTGCAGATGTCGACATCTGTCCTCAGCGAACCGCGAGTTGGAGCTGGAGTTGACGGGTGAAAGAGTCGTTGAAGGATTCCGCGCCGAAGCACCTGCGCATGAAAGTTAAAGAGTTGAACGTTCATCCCGACCAGTCCGTG